GTGGAATTGTAAATATAATTCCAAAGGAAAAAAATGAGAATCCGGGGAGCTATGCTGTAGAGCTCCCATCAGATTAGCCTTCTGTGGTCAAGAAAATGTTTATGAAACAGCTTTATTTTGTTTCTATTGGTTTTCTTATTGATATTCAAAAGGATTCTTGAGTGTGTCCAGTCCAGGGACCTCTGCTGAGTTTGACTCCCTCAACTATATGCCTCTAATAGTAATCTAATTGCTATAAAACTGGATTTTTTTGCTTTAAACATTTTAAAACCTTATATGTACAGCAGTGACTGGAAATGGCTTTGTCCTTGGGAGCCTTGGAAGACTGTGTTTCACCACTTACAGTTTTGGATAGTGATTAGTTTAAGTAGCCAACACTGCTATCCTAGCCAACCCGATTGCCTTCTGTGTTTGAAGGACTGCATTTGAGATTGTGAGGAGCGCAGCGGATGTCATTTATCTCAGTCCCAGTAAGGCTTTCCACGCTGTCTGCCACAATAGCCTTCTTTCAACGTCAGGACATTGAGGTCTGAATAGTTGGATAATTTGATTGCAAAAAAGCCAGTTGGATGGTGGGGTCCAGAAGGTGGTGGTTAATGGGACCTACGCTGCCTATAGGCCAGCAATAAGTGGAGTAATGGTGGGATCTGTGCTGGGCCCTGTGACATTTGACATCTTTATCAGTGACCTGGAGGAGATGAGAGACAGTTCTGGTCTCAAGTCTGCAGATGATTCCAGACTGCGGGGACACAGAGTCAGGTCAGGGCTGCCGTCCAGAGGGACCTAACCAGGCTGGAGGAATAGACCAGAGGGAATCCCATGAAATTTATCAAGGAGAGACACCAAGTGCTGCCCCTGGGCGGGACGCTCCGGTGCAAGGACACAGGCTGGTCCCTGTCTGGCCAGGAGCAGCTCTGCGGGAAGGGACCTGGGCGCCTTGGCGGGCACAAGCTGGGCACGAGCCAGCGGTGTGACCTGGCGGCAGGAACGGCCAGCAGCGCCCCGGGCAACCCAGTAGAGGAAAGACATGGCGTAACTGGAGCAAGTTCATCAGAAGGTCCCCAAGATGGCCGAGGGCCAGAGCACTTGCCCTGTGAGGGGAGGCTGAAGTCTTGTTCAGCCTGGAGAAGAGATGTCTTCAGGGGAGGCCTAACATCAGCCTGCCAGGACCTGCGAGGGGGTCATCGAGAAGAGAGAGCCATCCACTTCGCAGTGGGGCACTGTGGGAGAATGAGACACAACGGGCATAAGTTGGAAGAGGAGGAGAGGCAGGATAGAAGGAAATACTTTTTCACTCTGGGGACTGGAGCTGGCTGCCCAGAGAGGTTGCACAGCTTCCATCCTTGGGGAATTTTGAGACCTGACTGCTTAAAGCCCTGAGCAACCTGGTCCGACCTCAGAGCTGACCCTGGAGCTTGGACTAGATGCCCTCCAGTGGGTCCTTCCAACCTGAATTGTTGTCTGTGATTCATTCTATGAATATTTTAAAACTACCTTGAACTTCCAGCTACATTTATTTGTGATCTATTTGTGCCCTTGATTTCTTGTTCTTCTTAGGCTTGTTCTTTGCCTAAAATAAATTTTATTCTGCAATGTATTAACTGAGAACAATAACATTCACTCTCTACTTTTGTTAAGCAGAACAAGCCACGCTCTTCTAATTTCCTCATGTGAAATAGAGTCCCTACTCCTTTTTCATCCTAATATCCCCTCTCTGCACCCGTTCTGATTTGAATTCATCTGTCTTGCATGTAGGTGATCACAGCACTGCAGTACTGCACAAATCCAAATACAAGGTCAACGAAGAAATATTCATATCCTGCACTAGGCACTCTCAATGCTGGAAACATTCCACAGGACAATACAGCCATAGATTTCATTATTTTTTTACACCTGCGCCCTGCCCACACTAATCCTGTCACTGTTTATCATTTCTGGATCTTGCTTTCTACGTACAGACATACATAAATGCAGACATACGCAAAATTATTGTGCCATAGAAATTATTAATGATGACTAATCCTACCACTAAAAAGGCTTTTCTGATATTTTCCCTAAACATTTCTCTCACTACTAATTTTCATTACTCTTAATTGGACCTTTTTTTTTCCTCAGAAGCTGTTAAGTGTTCTAGACCCAGGTGTCTTTCAAATATTTGTACAGAGAAATCTTGTCCTCTCTTAAATTAAAATGTTGATCTTTTCTGGTGAGTCATTTTTTTCCAGCACCCTAATTATTTGGATGTGAACAAAAAAGATTTATTTACAACAAAATGTTTTCATATCGCTCTCAATTTTGGTTTTAGGAACCTGTAAAAAGACCACCGAAATATTCTTTAAATCCCAAAGATCACAAGTACCTAAAAGGTGTGAGACATAACCTTTTAAGTATCTTGATCACAGAATGCCTTACTCTCCTTGAATTACAAATGCTTTTTGAGATCCTAACTCTGATCTCAGTTTGGTCACGTGCAGATGTGGTTCCTTCTGGGAAAGCAGGCTTCATTTAAGTAGTAATTAAGAAAAGTAATTCCCAGTGATACAGCAGGTTTCCCCAGTCAGTTTCTCTCATCTTCTGTTTCTCCACAAATTCCTCCTTTGGGAAATTGTTTAAAGACAATCTAGAAGTGAATTGTCGTAGTTTCTCAATCAGATTGCCTGTTGTACATTGATAATTTGCCATGCAGGAGATAAATTGGGGGTTTTTGAGACAGCATTTTGTTGTTTGTGGCTTACGTACTGCTTTTCACATTATTGTTAAAAGAGCTGTGAGTCATCTGTAGATTTAGTAAGTAAGTGAAAATCTGAGCTTGTGAGATTGTAATGCAGAATGCTGAGCCCTGTGTAGAGTTCATTGGCTAAATGTTTGTGAATATATAAGTGCTCTTAGCTCCAATGCTTAAATTATTTCTGTCTATCTCCCTTCCAAGTGTAGTTACAGAAGCCTCCTGTGTCTGGTCTCGGCACGTGAGCTTCTTATAAAGGGAAGGCATGCACTGAGTCCAGCACCATCCTGTTGATCCCTGAGGGGGAATTTTCCAGCCACAGCACGGCATCTACTGCACAAAATAACTCTAAAATTTTTCAGCCATTGGTTACAACTTATTTTGAAACAGAAAAATGTTGAACTGTGTACTGGGTGCAGGTGCCCAGGTAGGGGAGGTGGGGGGGGTCGGTCTCTGTGAGGGGAGGCTGGGACTGTCCCATGGCAGACACAGCCGGTCCCAAGCAGAGATTCCCTTGTGAGCCTGGAGAGATCCTGGTGGAGCAGGTATCTCCCTGTAGCCCCTGGAGAGACAGCGGTGGAGCAGGTATCTCCTGTAGCCCGTGGAGAGGACCATGCTGGAACAGGTATCCACGCTGCAGCCCATGGAGGACCCCACGCCACAGTAGGTGGACATGCCCTGAAGGAACCGTGGCCCGTGGAGAGCCCGTGCTGGAGCAGGTTTACCCCGAAGGACTGCAGCCCGTGGGAAGGCCCCAGGCTGGAGCAGGGACAAGTGTCAGGAGGCCGGAGTGGCAGAGAGGAGCCGTTATGGACTGACCGCAGCCCCCCACCCCCCTGCGCTGCTGGGGGTGGGGAGGAAGAGGAGTCAGGAGTGAAGGCGCGAAGCTGAGCCTGGGAAGGGGGGTGGTGGTGGAAGGAAGGTGGTTCAGGTTTTGCCTTTGTTTCTCACCATTTAACTCTATTTTAATTGGCAATAAATTAAATTAATTTTCCCCTTGTTGTCTCTTTTTTGCTCGTGATGGTAATTGGTAAGTGATGCCCTTGTCTTTGTCTCAGCCCACAAGCTTTTTCATCTTATTTTCTCCCTCTGCCCTGTTGAGGAGGGGGAGAGAGCAGCTGGGCAGGGATCTGACAGCCAGCCAAAGTCAACCCACCACAAGTTTTAAGTAAGCTAGCGCTCTCAGAGTCATTTCAGCCTTACTTTCTCATTTTGATCCTCAACGGACTTAATAATTAACTTGGAAATTATTTCCACTTCCATTTGATTAAATTATATTAGAATTTTTGCCATGAGACAAAAACAGAGAAGCAAACTTCACAGCATTGATTAGCTATCATGATAAAGATGAATACTGGCTCATTTTTAATATAATGATTCATTACCTGGCAAAATTAAGGCTCTGCGTTATTTCTACTTCAGTTTCCGCTAGGATTTATTATTATTCCAGAAGTTGTAATGTACTTTTCTTCTTTTTTTTAAAAAATACGGGATGCGAATAGGCTGTAGTTAGAATGGTACTAGAAATTCACAGACTGCTAAATTCAGCATCACTGCTTGGAAGGCAATGTCACTTCTGTGCACAGGCACAGCACCAGCACTCGGCAGATCTTAGAGACTCGTGACGAAGTGCAAGACTCTTCCCCTGCCTGTGTCGTACTTGTGTCTGACATCTTGCACATCCATGTGGGAGAGCTAAAAGAAAAGAAGAGTTCACATCTTCCCTTACGTTTTGTAGAACACCCACGGGACTTCCTGCTTAAAGGCAAGGGACAATATATCCCTTACTTTCATACACCTGAACTGAGCTACAAACAACAATAAAATAAAGACAGAAAAGGAAGAATACTTGACTTGTGTCAAGTTTTTTTCTTTTTGGAAGAAGGTTGTTCAGTTTAATCCTCATGAAAGTGGGAAAAATAACAGTAATGGATTAAAGCCAGAGTTTAAGAAAATACATTTAAATATATTTTTTTACTTAAAAATGAGTTTCCTCATCATTCAAAGACCTAAGAGTTAAACTATATTGTATACACCTCAGGTACAAATTGACAAAAGATCTAATAAACCAGACTATATAAAAAGCAAGAGACTTTTTTTTCCCGAAAAATGTATTTGTGTTTTAGCTGATCATATAAAAAGCATTAAATTTTTAAAAAATGTGTATATATTTTTTCAAGTGTTAATGGTTTCACCATTTATCGTAACTACATTCCGAAGTCCTGTAACATCAGAGCACATTATCCTTAGCTGTGTAGCACAGTGAGCATAATCTTTACACTGAGGTCACTCTCATCACTACTTCCCCAGAGCCGTTATCCTCTGACGAATCTTCCTGAGGTCTCATGCGGTTGAACAGATGTAACAATACATAGCCACACTGAAATCTTGGTGAGGTTAACTGTGTTGGATGAACTAAACTTCTGTTTCTCAGTGCAGTCAGTGGTAACAACAATGTCCTTCCTGCTGAGGATTGTCCTCGATTGCTCTCTTCTATGTCTGTGGCTTTATCATAATTTAACACATCCCAGTGTAGATTGACAGCCCTCCAACGCTTAAATACTCGATAAACAGATGCACCTTCATGTACTATCAGTCCTGAAATTAAGAAAATTTAAAAAAAAAGTTTGTACAAAATGTCAATGAATACCATTTTGAGAGCAAATAGAGATGTAGCACATTGTAATGAATGTGGCAATTGCCAGAGCCTATTAAATTACTTATAACTCTCATAATTCAAATAAATTGTACATACAAAATATAACTGGTTATTCATGTGTTTAAGATTGGGAGGGGGGAACATGCAGAGGTAATAAAATTGTTCTGAATGAAAGCTCAGCATAACCAAAACTGGAATAATCTGAGCATACCTAACTGAATAAAGTATTTAGATTTAAGTAAATCAATATAAAATAACCTTACTGGCAGATTTTTAAATTGACTGTTTATTTTATCCTTGTTCATAGTAAGTACTATTTATTTACTGAGATTTGTACTGGTTTAAGTAGATCTTTAAGTAGATTAGCCCTTCTGTAATGAGCAGGATGGTCTTAAATTTGTTTAAGAGTGTTTTGTAGAATTCAGTACAGATACAAACAAATGTAACTGTTTTCACATTCTTAGTTCAACTTGGGAGCACAGAAGATTTATGAAAAACTGAAACAGCTGTTAAGTATAATGACTTTCCTGTCTTGCTTCAGTAGAGCAAGAAGACATTAAATGTTACTATTAACTGTGATGAGCATGGCAAGGATGATAGGCTTTCTTCTTTCCCTTCAAAATTCAGTAGACAAAAGTTGAGAAACATCTTTTTTGTTAAGACCCAGGAAATCTTTTAAAGGGTCCTTCAAGGAAAAATGCAGATTATTTGGAGTCCTCAACAGACCAATCTACTTCTGAACTTCCATGTAGCTAATATTTATGCTTATTGTATGCATTCAAGTAATTTATTTACTTAAATGAAATCCTTAATTTTTCAGATGTATGCATATGTATTTATACACACAGTCTTTATGTGTAAGCATTTCAAATATGGATTTACTGGGGATACACATGAGGCTTCTTACTAGGTTTTTTTTTTCTCAACCAGCCTGGTAACTTACACAGTTCTGAGCAATGTCACATGTTTTCTCTGGCTCCCTGCTTTGGGAGGAGAGCAATCTGCCTAGCCCAAAACATTTATAATTTTTTTGTCCAGTGTGTTTCTTGCCTGAAATCTTCCTATACATGGCCACATCTATAATATGATCTGAGGTGTCATAGGTTATAGTCCTTTATCCCAGGAGATTGCATATCACCTGTTCCTACACAACAAAATTGTGATTTAAGTGTCTGAGGTCTCTCAGCATGGTTAACTGATGCCAGAAAGGAGACATTCAAAGAAAGATGACACAAGCAGAAAGGATGATAAAAGCATTTATATGAACAGCAAACCTCAGATTCAAGTGCAATGATTTGCAGATAGCAATGCCTACTCTAACACATTTCTAAAGATCATTACACTGAAAGATGGAGAAACACAAAGATTGCTTTCAGAAGGACATGATAGCAAATGTAGCATCTCTGTAAGGCTTTCAAGTTGCCTAGAATTCGTTGAAGCATCCGATACAGCAAAACTAACACAATATAAACTAAATTAAATGTTAAATATTCTAAATGTATTTTGTATCGGCATAGCATTTTAGTGGAAAATTTTCTTGATTGCAAGATGTCTATCTTCATCTTGTCAGATATGTGTATATATAAAGCAACCTGTCCTAAAAATTTAGCAGCCATGTTAATATATAAACACAGTTTCAAGACTGGCCATATTGGCTTAAAAACGATAAATGTGTTTGATCACATACAGAATCTACAGACCAAATAAGCCATGGTTTTATTGCTGTGACAAAGATCCCCCCCTTTTTTTTCTGTTGGATTTCCTATAGAATGATAAGGGAGATGAGCACCATTTTCCCTCTACCTGTCACTGGATCATAGTATTCTTTTGGCCAATTTCCCTCAAGACTGTGACGAAGCAAAATTGAGAGAACCTATTTACCCTGATGTAAAGATTTTTGATACCTGCCTGCACTCCACTGGAACCCGAACAACATATTTCAGAATAGAGAAGGAAGCAGTTGAGAAAGGGTCATTGAGGTACATGAAGTACATTTAAACAGTCAAAAGTATCCTCTCAAAATTAAGTCAGAAAAAGTCGTAGGATGACTTAGGGAGCTCTTTTTTATTGTTTTTGAGCTTTCAGGATTTATTGAAATTATGTTTTCAAAGTTTTTTCAACAATGGCAAGAAAAGATGTTTTCTTTAAAATGGAAGCTCTTAGTCACATATGCTCTAAAAGAACTACCGAACAAAGGATCAAATATTGCAAGGCTTGAAATAAAGTTGTCAGAGCTGGCAATGCTGAAGGGGAAAAGGAGCACTTTCATAATTCCTCCCATAAAAAGCTTTATTTCCCATCTGATAAAACTACAGATTGAAAAAGACCTATGTAGAAGAGGCAAAAGAATTCCAATAGATCTTTTGTCTCTCTGAAAGATATTTTCCGGTGGGCAGGGGAAAAAAGTTCTCGGCACCAACAGTTCCACGACCACAAACGAGAGGAAATCTGGGTAAGGTTTAAATGCTGGAGATTTTCCAGATCCAGACAAGTTCCTATGCTCAAAATGTAAGTAGTTAGTCACTAAAGTGAAGCTGGAAGAAAATGCAAAGGGTCTCCTTGTTCTTAAGAGTTTCACAGCAATGAATGAGGATATGAGAGAGAAAACAAGGATAAATCCATGAATAATACTGACTTGTTCCAAATACCATGATTTCAGCAGCACAGAGGACATAGTTGCACAGTCCTAGGGAAAAAAAAAAAATTACTTGTTTGGCCCAGATGATCCCAAGAGGATGTGTTAGACGTCACTACTGTTAGCTGTTCTGATGGTCTGACCAATTAGTAGCTACAAGGAACAGAGTTCTGGGATGATAGACCTGGCACAATGTCCTAAGGCTCTAAGAAGACTTACTTTACCTTCAGGATTTATTGCTAAGATGTAGGGATTGTAGTGGGATCCAGACAATAGGATTATGGAGAGATCGTAATTTTCTTTTCTTTTATTGCCAAGTACCATGAGATTCTCTCACTCTATCCAAAGGATTTCTTACCCTGAGTCACAAGACCACTTGAAATTTTTCATACTGAATGTCTTTACAAGCAGGCAACTTGTCTTAGTTCTTTCAGATTTGGTGCTATTATGTTCCAACATTGTCTTATTTATCACACTAATCTTACTTATAATCATTTAGGAATGGTCCTCCCAGAAACATCACAAACTTTTACCAGGCAATAAAAGACCCTTTGCAGAAACAGACTTCACCACTGGACAAAAGGCCATGTCGTAATACTGTTCTAGGGCCCACAGATATAAAAAAATATGCAATAAATTGCTCAAAGCATTAAAGTGAAACATGTCCACTCTAAAAATAGCATGTAACTCTTTCTAAGCTATTTAGAATTAGATCTAATGAGAAAAAAAAAAGACTTTCTGAGTAGAGAAATATTAAGCGCAGCAAGATGTGTTAATTATAAGTAACATCAGCCTGTACATTTTTACAACTAATGAGTTACACAAATGTTGCTACGCATCAAGTTCCTTGGTGGGGAAGAAAGAGGCTTTCAGAGGGCTACTCACACCTCAAATCATTGGCTCCTATCTCTTACTCCCTTGCCATAGTACTACTGGCACCACTCATGTTCTAGTGCAATGTTACAACTGCTTTTCATGCTCTGTATGAGCTGCACTGTTCTGGGATTGCAAGTGAGATATTATTATTTGTGAGAGATTTTGTTCATGTTAGAACCATTTAAGACTAGCAGTTATGATTATATTCCAGTGAAAATATATAAAATTATATGACTTCACTGTTATGAGAAATAATTGCTAGGTCTACAAAGTAAAATGGCAAAGGCTTGGTGTACTGTTCTTCAGTGGCTAAATAAGGGGTTTATATTATTAATTCCTTTCATATTAACTCATGAACTCACTCCCTTTGGTAATCCCTATGTGGATGGTCTGATCCTAGCACTATCACTGCAGTAGCTCAGGGTTTCACAGGCAGTAGTTCTACTTGATCAAAATGTTCAACATTTGCCTTAGGAAAACTTCTACCATCAGCAAGTTTCAAAGAGAAGAGCTTTATGCCCAGCTTAGATGCAGAAAAGTATAAACTAGCGACTTGTAGGGTTGAAACTAACACTGATAAGTAAAAACGATTCTGTTTGTTAGGAAGAATTCTGGAAATATTTGGCGTAGAACGAGGAGAACAATGGATACCAATAAAATGTGTACACTGGAATGAATAGAATATTATATTGGTGATCTTTAATCTTTGGGATATTTCTTTTGGTGATAAGTAAAACAAGACCAAGAATTAAAATACAAGTTACATGTAATTTACTTGATAAGAAAGTGGGTGGTATGCTACGTATGGTATATAAATCAATCATTGGGAAAACAAGACATGCAAGTTTTCAAAGATGTCATATAAATATGTCAGAACCTTTAGGCAAACTGCTTTTAAAAATAATGACAACAAAACATCTCAAAAAGTACAGATAGTTACACTTCAAAAATGACTAAAAATTTTCATAGTCTATGCAACGCTATAGGGAGGCATAACTGAAGGCAATTGGAGTAAGTCTTGGTCATACCACCAGTAACTTAAGCACTTGTCTTGAAATATGTGCTGCACAGGACAACCCTTATGTCTGCTTAGATTTTTCAGTGAAATAAAGAGAGATTCCAGTGGGAGTATAGGTATTCACTACTCACTGTAAATCCTGTTGAGAACTAAGATAATACCATGGATGACTAAACACAAATGAGAGGACAGGAGATACTAAGTAAGAACTGTGGCTGGCTGTCAGCATTACAAGCTTTATGATGTAAGAGATTATATATAACATGCAATGGTAAAATCATATGTTAATGCCTTTGGGAAGACATCAGCATAATGGAGGGTTAGTTTTTTTAAAAATCATTCATAAGTAATAATTACATCCCTCTATTAAAGAACTTTTTGAGTGTTTGAAATAAATTAAAATTATCAATCTAAAATCCCTCACTTCCTGATGAAAGAAAAAGATACAATTGAATAAAGTTGAATATATTAATAAATGTTTTCAGGAGTTACAAGAACTCCTGGTCTTACAAGCTTACAGAATGCAGATTAGTTGAAATTATATGCAGAATAAGTGGGCTGAATGGATCTGGATCATCAGAATTCTGCAACTACCAAACCTCCTTTATACAGCTTTCCGAATTTCCAGATACAGTTTAGTAAACTGTTAAGTCATATCTGCACTGAACTTTGTAATTACAAAACAGTGTCCAAATACATTTAATTATAGTCATTTTTACATAAAAATTCCCATGTATTATTTATGGTAAGACTATAAAATATGCATTTATGTAATTACAGGCAAGTAATTTTATCTGGTGGGTGAAGGCAGCTGCATGTCTACTTTGCTCCTGCGTGGTGCCAGTTGGGCTAGAAGCTCCATAGCCATGTGAGGTACATCTTAGTTCAGTAGCTTCCAGTCCAGAGGTGCCTTGAGCCTGGCTGGCTTGAAAGGCAGCTACATAACTGCATGTTCCAATCTCTTGAAGGCTCGCCTTCCAAGAGTTTACTTCTACAGATAAAGACACTGATACTTCTGATCACTCACAGATGTTCTCAATTGTTTTTGAGATTAATTTGGTTTAGGCATTTTAACAGTCAAACAAATGGAAAGAAATGGAAATAGTTTGAAATAACTGGTTATTCCAACTAGTTGATGCATACCAAAGTAAATTTTTTGCAATTGTACTCTTTGTGAAAAAAACAAACAGAATTTCATTCAAATGAAATGTTTAGAATACCTGAAGCACATTTTGTCTTCAATTCATGCTTTTTTAAACAAAAGCAAAAACCTCAATATTGAGTGTTAAGCCAAAAAAAGTGGTATTCAGGAATCAGCATGTAAGAGGACATGTAGCTGAGCCCTTTTTTTTGTTTAAAAGCTGAGCACTTGCCCAGAGTATTAGAGACCTAGCTTCTGTTCATTTTTCTGTCTGAGAAAATTTGGATTCACAGAAGAAAGCCTGTGTTCTAAATATTCCAGAGTGGGCTTCTCCTAGAAAAATTACAAAATAAACAGAACTGGTAATCCACCTGAAATGTAAATACCTTTACAGTAATAGGATGGTTTCAATAAAAGATGATACGGCTTTATGGTTGGAGCAAAAGCCTTGATATTAGGAATCACTCTGTTTCATTGCACCTTATTGAGCAGAATTCAGCACTGTCCTTCTGAATTCCCATATATGAGATTGGGATAACATCAACATCTATCACTCAGGAATCTCAAAGCAAACATCAGATAGCATTTGACTTCTGTATTTTCTTGGAATTGTGATTCTAAGAATGTGGTTTAATGTTTACTACAATTATTGAATTTTCCCTGCAGATAATCATAGCTATTCTAACAATCAATTCAAGGTTGTTTTATCAAACACTAAAGGGATTTCTATTTAAATATTTCTGGGTCCAGTGTATTTTCAGAAATTTCAAAACTGGTCAAAAGAGCTTTGCAGTAAATTGCATTTTCTTTTATAAGATTTCAGCTAGAGTTAGATGACTTGAGACTTTTTAATAGTAAAGCAAGTTACTATAGTTAGTACTAGTAGAGTGTTTCATAACTGTTTATGATGTACAAAGAACTCATGCCTGTCTTCTCTGTTCTCCTCTATTACTAGCACAGTGACCTATATAAGTCTGAGGAACTTAATTTTGGATATATAGTTTGATGACCTCTTCAAGGGCTGCTTCTGCGCTTCATGATGGTACAATCTAATGCAAAGTGGCATCAGTAGAAGACATGACAGCACATAATTTTACTAATAGTTTTAATAATGTTTTTGTCATTTTCATCCATTTAACTTCCTGAACTACACTATTTTTTGCGATTTTTCAGGAAATTGAAACTGATCCTGTTCTCACCACTAAGATCTTGGAGAGAAACTTTGATGAATCTGACAGTAAAGCGTCTTTGGTTCTTCTCTCTTTGCAGTATTTGTAACACTGTAAAAAGCAGTATTTGCCAAAGGTATTAGCTGAGAATAAATCTGCAAAGAACTGGAGTGATCAATTAGAGTGACCAGTTAGAAAAATAGTTATAGTCAGTCTTAAACCACAGTCTGTGCTGTTTAAAGATTTTGAGCTTACCTATGCATACTAGATCCATAAAACCATACATTCCATAGCAGATTTGAAAAAGGATGTCCTTTCTTTGCCATACTGCATAAGGGCTGAAGGCTGACCATAGAAGCCAAGTCACACTTGCTACTAAGAACAGAGATCCTAGGATTACAGCAACCATCTGCACTTTCTCAACCAGTGTTATAGTAATGCTTTGCCACTAAAAGAGAAACAAAGTTGTATAAGATAAAAAGTTATTTTCTGTGATTGTACATTCAACTCCACTTTTTTTCCTGAAATCAAAAATTATTTTAATATTTATACATATCTTCATAGATATTTACTAATATCCTTGATACTGACATTTTACATCTTTTTTTTCCTATTTCACTTTTAGTTAAAGTGAAACTAATAGTTGCTTCCCCATCCCCTTCAGCATCACTATCATCACCATCTAGCTGTGAACTTCAGAAGAGTTAATGGTTTTATTTGTTTTGAATACATAGGCAAAAAAAGATTTAGTCTTAGGAATGGAACTCAGCCTTTCATATTTGTAGGCTAATGAACAGAATAAAAAAAAACGTTGGGAAGACAGTCTTAAGTATGTTTTATGTTAGTGTGACAAGTTGAAAGTGACAACTTTCCTTTCTATCCTGCCCCCCTAAAATCTGAAGCCATTTTCCACTTTCCTGCTGCCCATCAGAGAAGTTCCAGACATACCAAGGGAGTTGGCTTTCTCTGCGTAAACCAGTATTAACACTACAAAGAGACACCTGCAGCCTAGTGTGGAAGCAACCTGAAGACTCAGGAGAAGCCCTAAATATAGGTAGCACAAACATTTCTTTTCAGTGCACCCCGATTATGTCCACCTTTCCAGGGAAGGCTGTATCCTCCGTATGTGAGGTGGCTCAGATTTAAGGTGTGACAAGGTTTAAATATAAAGGAGTATGCTTACTGAATTCTGTCAAGATAAGAATAGAAATAAAATTCTGTTAAAACAGAGTCACAAAAGCAAAACACAGCATAAAGAAAAAAGCATTCTAGATTACCCTTAACATATATGGTCTTTCTTGGCCATAATTGTCCAAATTAACTTGGCAGACTCCCCAGTCTAGCCCCATCACCTATTCCAGAGCTAGTATGCACACTTTGTAGACTGCCCTCTTTCCTGTTCCTAAGTTTGACCGTACCTGCCCCCTTCTACAGCTGCAATAGGGAACAGGGGGAGAAAGCTACTGCAGTAAGGGCTTTATTACCTCTTTTCCCATCTGGCAATATTTTTTCTTTTTTTCCTGTTACTTTATGAAAGCTTTCTCTTGTTACCAGCAGTTGGGTACCCAGTACTGTATGACCACAGGATGATGATAGAATAGTTCAGGGTGCAAGGGGCTGTGGGAGATCTCTTCGTTCACCTTCCTGCTCAAAACAGGGTCAGTGATGAGATCAGACCAGGTTGCTCAGGGGTTTATTCAGTAACACCTTGAAAGCCTCCAAGCATGGAGACTGTTCAGCCTCTCCGGGCAACCTGTTCCACTTCCTGAATGTTTTGCTTAAAAAACATTTTTTCTCTAAATCCAGTCCGATCCTCTTTTGTTCCAGCTTATGCTCTCTTCCTCCCACCAAGTACCACTGTGAAGAGCCTGGGTGAGCAATGAGGTCCTCTGGCCCTTTCTTCTCTTTCAGCTTTTTCCATTAACTTTTCTACTGTTGCCTAATTTGCACATCTGGTGCTGCATACCTTCTCTTGTTGCAGCCTTCTGAATATAATAGTACAAAAAGATAGCTGTATAACAACTTGTACATTGTCTATCTTGAAACACTATCCTTTTATAATGAACTTATTAAACTCATACTAGCTATTTCATTGAACTTCAGGGTATGGAATGGGGCTATTCATATTAAATAATACCCTTTTTATGGTAAACCAACTATGGATACTCATTTTCTTTGTTAGAATTTTTTCTTATAAGGTCAAGGAAGGTCATTAACAAGTAATGCGTGACAGAATGGTGTGAGCTTCTCATGACTCAGATATTACTGGTATACAGGATTTAAATGTTGAGACTGAATTTCATAGAACTCTCTTGAGACTTATAGGGTTATGTTCAACAAAATTATTTTTCATTTCTCAGCTGAAGCCACATAGTGTGACTTGGCAGAAAACTGTCAAAAATGCTATTGGTTATGTATCTCTTTCTATCTTCCTTCATTATCAGTGTGAGACAGACGTGTAATGAATTTGTTCAGAATGCCCAAAATCAAAGTACATTTACATGAAGTAAAGCTTTAACTGTCACAAAATATTAAACTGTCAAATTAATGGAAGAAGCTGGCAATAAATTTAAAAGACTGTTATATCACTGAAATAAACAGCAGATCTTTCACAGTGCAATTTCAGCAATGCAGAAGTCCCTAAACTCACTTCAGGTTTTTTGTTTTGGTTTGTTTTGGTTTTTTTTAACTTAGATTGCTCATAATTATTCTGTAAAGATAGCACTGAACAGAAGGAAAAGTAGTCCAAACATTTGGGATATGTAATGTAGCATGCCATCTAGATATAAAGCCCATCCCTTATTCTGGTGTTGTCTGACAACCAATTTCTATTCCTATCTCCCACTCCCAACCAGAATCAACCACTCCTACCATCTTTTTCCATCTCATGAGGGCTTTTGTTGGCTTTCCCCAAACTACTTCTTTCTAGAAAAGCTTGACCTTGAAAAGTCCTAAGAAACATAGATATGATCCTCCCCCCTTCTCCTGATCAGATTGTCTGTCAAGAATGCAAGCAACTAAATGTCTCAACCTCAACAAATTTAGTAATTCCAAAGATTCAGCATATTAGCATGCTACCAACTGGGAAGGGGAGCCATCCCAGTTACTGAGAAAATGCACAAGCATTCCACACATTGTAGTTCCTAACTCCTTTGCCTTTAAAAACCAAAGAACAGTTACAAAACAAAACAAAACAACCAAGAAAGCCTAAAGGGCGTTGGATATTTTCTTCTCTTACTCATCTACTTTGACCTTTGTGGTATACACTGCCTTTCTTCTACAAAAGAAACCGTAGTCGTCCACCTTCCTCAGTATGAAGGTCAGCAATAACCAAGCAATTTAAACATTTTAGGAAAGTTTCCTCCCTAGCAGTGTAATCTGCAAGTTAAACTAATTGATGAGATCCCACAGTAGATTGAGGAGGAAGAACTGTGTGCATGAGATGGAAGGCCCAGAAAGTTTTATGCGAAGCTGGTAACTTGCCTCCCACTGCTAGGCAGTCTGCCGTAAGAATCCAACACCCTAAGAGTGATAGGGTGGGATGAATTGGTATGAAGCTCTAACATGTGGTCAGTTTGGGGACCTTGGTTTCCATGTATGTCCCTCCTTAGCGCTAATGGCAAGATGACTGTGGATGTTCCTGATGGCTAATTCACCTCAACTGAAATTTCCTCCTCCTTGCCGTGCCCCCCCCAATCAGTTTTGATTCCAAACAGTCTGAGATTGCCTCTTGGGAAATTAATGTCTTGATTTTTTTCCCATAAGTTTTATTGAGTTTGGGTACAAATTATAAAAAGCGAATGGATCTTGCCAAGACAGGCATATTCTTCACATAAGGAAGAAGGTATTCAGTAGTTACAACACTATTCACACATAAATCAGTTTGGAAGGTTCAGTCCTTTACTAAGCCACAGACCGTATTAGCCACTAGGCAATGAGAGGAACTGCATCGGACTGTATTGTTTGGTGGCACTGCATTTCATAACAAGGCTTGTGAAGAGGAACTGGAGTTGGTCACACTGTTTTCTTCTACCTGAAGTCTTACTCACAGCATAGCTAGTATGTGTGAGTATACACTCTGACAGACATCCAGGAACAGAAGACTCTTTTTCTAAGAGTAAGATTCTTTTTACAGTATCACAAGCCAGTTGTTAAACTTTATTTGATTTCTCACAATCTTTTACCTTATTGTACGCCCTGTTACATATTTGTTATAATCACTTCACCTTTTAATGTCAAATTAACGGCTGACAATAAAGAGGTTACAGAAATAATGTAGTAAAAATAATTCACTGATAGTTACTGTTGAGAAATTGCATTTAGAATTTAATAGACTGAATTAAATTGAATGAGCTCATTATTAGTGTCATAATTTAAATCCATTATTTCCATAAAAGTTTCTCATTTTCTTCATATAACTTATCTCACAACTCAATTGCTCATGATTATAAATTATATTATGACTTCCTAATTTGTTTTTTCATTTGCTGACTACACATTCCATAACCAGTAACAGTTCTTTTAGCTAAGTAATCTGCCAAGTTAGAAAAGATATATACAGTCTTTAGCTTCTGTAAATTACATGAACCTAAAAAATAAATATGCAAAAGACTACCATTTTTGCTTAAAAACTAGAAATTGAAAGAAAATGTTAAATATTTTGTATCTAGAGAACTATAGTAATACTGTAAGTAATTTTTCAGATTCAGAAAAAAATGTCTCATTTAAATTTCTATGAAATAGGATCCCATTTCACATTCCTTCCCATTATATCTGTGGTGTTAGGATATACTGTGCCATCTCTGTCACCCATGAAAAGAATGCATTTTACTTTAATATACAATGATGATGAAATCTTCCTTTGAAAATGGTGCCTTCATAAACAAAATATAATTCATGCTTCTGATTTTAATATAATACTGCCTCTCCCTTGAAAACTTCCTATACTTTTACTTCTACTGACACTTCATTATGTTTGGCTCTTTTAATCTTTTATTTACCACTGCTCTTCCCTTCATGAATCATTTGGGAGTCTAGTATGTTAATGGTACACTATAGTTCTAATACTGACCCCAGAAACACTGCTCCTCTTTTCTTCTAAGGGCTCTGTCAAGCAGAAGTACTGCACCATTTCTTATTTTTTGAGGTTGAGACTTCCAGAAGTTGAAAGAAACATATTGCTTTGATGGACTAATTGTTAAAGAATAAAGTTAATACTGTTACATTGCAAGTTCTTACTAACATAAAGATGGCTATAATATTCAAAGATCTTTCATCTTTGAGATAAATCAGTGTTAACCTGGCTTTTTTTTAATGGTGCCTTGTAAAAGCCCATTGATTATTGTAAAATACATAGCAGAAAGAGATCTAAAAAGTTCTGACTGTGCTTGTGCTTAGAATACATTACATGAAAAATGTCTGCAATGAAACTACAGGTTTTCCTACATC